TTTCGATACCCGTGGTGGGCAGAGTACAGATAGCCCATTGTGTAGCCTTGTGCTTAACTTCAAACAAACAAACCAATTCTAAGGTACCTGAATCTGTAGCACTCCTAACGGAGAAATTCGAAGCAGCTCCTGTTTTGCTTCTCGTGAGTATAAAAGCTTATTTAAATTGCTTATTTTACACAACAACTAATGTGTTATTATTTTACACGTGTTTAACGTTTTTATGCATGTGTCGTATACGTCTAATTTCAGGTTTTGTAGCACTTTATAGTGGATATTACATGAAAACATGCATAACACCCAATTATATAATTTCCGTGGACATTAAGGTTTTGTAGCACTTTATAGTGGATATTACATGAAAACATGCATAACACCCAATTATATAATTTCCGATGGACATTAAGGTTTTGTAGCACTTTATAGTGGATATTACATGAAAACATGCATAACACCCAATTATATAATTTCCGTGGACATTATATATAATGAGAATTTCATTTAAACACTTGGGTAATGGAGCATAATTATATATTTTTCCCTTTTTTATTAACATATAAGATGTGTACAATATGCTGAAATTATAGAAATGTGCCGTTTTTGAACAGTATGAAACTATACGGGTGTTTTAATAGGAGTGAATGAAGTTGCTAACCAGATCTATTATAATGATTATGTTATCAGTAATTTCATATGAATATCTTTACTAGGATACTAATGTTTTTAATTATAGTTATATATACATCCTGCACAGACATTTATTTACATATTAAGTACCAAGACTAGCATATATTGTTAGCTTGTTGCAAGTATCACAATAATTTTGTTTACATCGCATCATTCTGTCCATTGGTAAAGTACCTCAATGTCTCAGCGGTAAATCTGATGCCTTATAACACTAAAAACCAGGTTTCGATATTTGTAGTGGGCATAGCACAGATAACTTATTGCATATTTTTGCGCTTAACAACAAACAAATATATAAATTAATTGGTACAATATTATTTACTAAACTCAGTTTTGGTTACACATCGTAAAAGTTATTTCGGTAGCAGTAATGTAAGACTTTAACAATGTGTTTTGTTGCTTTATAATTCAATTTAATTTTAACGTTGAAGTAAATAGTTTTAGACACTATGAATAAATTCGGAAATGAACTCTTCTGTCCGAGTCTTTATACGATCGGACCTTAATTTGTAACAACAGGTTTGTACTCGAGTCAAGATGGACCTGATTTTAATTTTTCACTAACATGATTGAACATGAAAATATTTCTTAATACTTGGAGCCAGACTTTATCAAACTTAGAGACGTTTCTTTTATTTATTTATTTTTTCTCGGACTTTGAACATACTGAATCTAAAGTGGAAGAACACACTCCACTCACAAACAAAATATATATTGTATCTTAGCGCCATCTCGTGTTCTTAGTTGTAACTACAAAAAAGCAACAACAATATCAATAAAATGAAGGAGAGTTTTATTTGGAGATAATATACATGCAACAATATTTTTACAAATAATTATTGGTGTGAATAACTGAGAGTATAGTTATTTGTATAGGAGAAAATAAGGTTTTGAATATTTTTTTCAGTTTTTTATTTAATGTTAAACATCCTGTTTAAAGATAACTGAAACACTAAAATTAACGGAATAAAGCTTGTCATAAATCTCCCCCGCATACGTCCAAACTGCAGTAGAAGTTTTCTGGATTAGGCTCCTGGAAAAATAATTTTAATATATATATATATGAGAGTAACTGCATATATTAAGTCGTAAAGCTGAAAGAAATGGAAAAGGAAATCACCTACACTTAGACTAAATGACGAAATCATAATAAATAGAACATTTTCCTTTTCTTATATGTCGGTTCAAGTAACAATATCAATAGGTTAAATTAATTAAAATATAGTATTGAATGACTCTTATATTTGAAATGAAAATAGAAAATAATTAAAACACATTAAATTTTTATTTGTTGTTGTTTTTGTTTTTTTTTACTTCGTTAAGAATTCACGTGACATTACGTGGACAGAATAACGAAATATATATATCAATTATCTGTTGTAAGTTGCTGACTTTAACCTAATAAAATCAGCATTCTCATTAGTGTAACCACTTGATGGTCATGATTACATGAATTTCTCGATAACCCAACAGACAGAAACAGCCATTTTTGTTTTGTTTTCGTTTTTGTGTTCTCATTGGTCTATTAGGTTATAGTTATATTCTAGTGACAAATTAGGAAGAGATCTTTGTGTTCTCATTGGCCTGTTGGGTTATAGTTATATTCTAGTGACAAATTTGGAAGAGGTCTTTGTGTTCTCATTGGCCTGTTTTTGGTTATAGTTGTATTCTAGTAACAAATTAGGAAGAGGTCTTTGTGTTCTCATTTGTCTGTTGGGTTATAGTTATATTCTAGTGACAAATTAGAAAGAGGTAACATTCTTAAGATGCTAGCCGTCGTAATGGCTTTCTATAGACAACTAAACTGTATAAATATAATATGTATTTTTGGATATCACAGAATTAAAATGATTAAAATGTAGGTTCTTTATTTAAGAATACCACACCTCATAGACATTCTTAATCCAACTTGTGCTTTATGTGTGTTTTACTGCCATATATACTTCATGTATGATTGATTTCTGCTTAATTGGGGGCCGTTTTGGAAGTTATCTCAAAAGTTTTCCTGTTCGTACTTCTCTAGCTACGCCTTTCTCCCGACTTATGCCTTCCCTCTTTTTTTGGCTTCATTGTCTTGCCTTTCTTGCTTCTTCTAATCTCACTATTTTTATACCATTTTTATTCTTCTTCATTTCTGTAGCCATGCGCAAGTTAAATAAATCCCACTGTCAAAATTTACGCAAACGATACTATGCTTCTTCTCCTCCGCATCTACCACAAATCATTTAGTTGATTGTCCCTAGTGTATAATGATCAGTTACAAGATGATTGATCGTTTACATAATGTTCTATAAATTATCTAATTTTAAAAAACAAAACAAAAAACAAACATTTTATTTGATAAATAAATATAGTGGCCTCAATGTTTGTGTAAACGACGAAAGCAATAAAATTAAGCTTTAAGAATTTTTATGCGTGTGAAATAATTATATAATTCAAGAACTTGGTTTAGGCTTAAGTACCTTCGCATGATTCTAGACACTTTTTCTGTGTTAAAAATCTATTTGCGTTCCCTCCACATCCACCGTAGATGAAAGATTCACAGGTCTCAGATTCGGGGTCGTAATAAAAGCTTGGAAAATGTCCGAAACACTTCCCAGTTTCGGGGGGGAGGAAGCAGTGCGCTTTATCATCAGCACCGTCAAGACTCTTTCTTGAACCTAAGTAAGGAATTATAAAACATATTTTAATGACTATTTTATTAAAAAAAGCGGTACAACTGTTTTTCTTTTATTTGTTTGTTTTACTTGAAATTCAGTAATATTGTATAATTTGGCTGTAATACGTACTCATACGTCTATATTTACATGTATACGTAAAATATATATTTAATACATCAAAGATTGAAAGAAATCAAAACCAACATGTATGGGTTAGAAAAGTAGACCATGATACAGTTCCTAAAATCAATACGCTCGCGAGTTATGCGCCAGTTTCCCGCCCATTTTGCACGTAGTTGTCTGTCCTGAAATGGCCCGGCATGGCCAGGTGGTTAGGGCGTTCGACTCGCAATTTGAGGGTCGCGGATTCGAATCCCCGTCACACCAAACATGCTCGCCTTTTCAGCCGTGGGGGCGTTATGATGTGACGGTCAATCCCACTATTCGTTGGTAAAAAGTAGCCCAAGAGTTGGCGGTGGGTGGTGATGACTAGCTGCCTTCCCTCTAGTCTTACACTGCTAAATCAGGGACGGCTAGCGCAGATAGCCCTCGTGTAGCTTTGCGCGAAATTTAAAACAAACAAACTGTCTTGAAATATGTGCTCGCATCTTACTACCTATATGCGCGCGCACTTCATTTCAACGGATGTAAACAAAAGGCGGATGTATATATACTTTAGTAGGCATTTTGTACAACATATTAAAAACTTACCAAAGTTTTTAAACAGGTATAACGTTAAGTCGTAGAATAACATTATACGTTTATTCATTGATAGTATTATGTACCGTAAAGCTTAGCCCTAGCTGACGAATACTGTTGCAATAAAGATACTAGTAATTAGATAAAACACACATTTGAACAAAAAGTTGATAAACTATAAATGAGAAGACACGTTAAAGATACAACACTCTAGATATTAGTTAATGGTAATAAAATAAAATTTGTATTATAATAATTATATATAATTTCATTTTGCGCTAAAATAAAAATATAATGTTATACTAAATCCTTCATTTACACTTTTCTTTTGTTCTGAGTGATTTACTTAATGCTCAGCTTTCTTGTTATTAATATGTGATCCCCGTTACACCAAACATGCTCGCCCTTTCAGCCGTGGGGGCGTTGTAATGTGACGGTCAATCCCACTATTCGTTGGTAAAAGAGTAGCCCAAGAGTTGGCGGTGGGTGGTGATGACTAGCTGCCTTCCCTCTAGTCTTACACTGCTAAATTAGGGACGGCTAGCGCAGATAGCCCTCGTGTAGCTTTGCGCGAAATTCAAAACAAACAAACTAATATGTGTACTTCAGTTGGGGGTAAGCTTTTCACCTTTACAAGCATCATGTCATTCATCCATATTCTAAGAGCTTTATTTATAGTAAAGTATCTGGGAAATATTAATGAATTTATGTCAAATAATGGTCCACTTATGTAATGTAGAAAAGCTGTTGGTTTGGATATACTAATCTTCAACAGATGTGGTATTTCACGTAATTAGCAAAGATAAAATATAAACAGTTTGTTCTTCTTTTTTGTTGTTGTTTATCTTCGAAAATTCTCACCTTTACAAACTCCATGACATTCGTCTATAGTCTCAAAGTTGTTTGCGTTTCCATCGCAACCACCGTAGATGAACTGTTCACACGTTCCTGTTTCTTTGTCGAAATAAAACCTGGGGATATAGGCTTTGCATGGTCCTGTTTCTGGCTCCAGGTGACAATCATTAGACTGTCTTAAGATTTTGACAGCAGAGGCTAAGCATAAGAGAAGAGTTATGAAAGGGGGATTGTATTTGATGTGTGTATTATAAACGAAAATTTCAATAAATTATGCTAGTGAGATCTTCACATTTGTCACTAGTAAGTTACTTTTGTTCTTAAAATGGGGGAAATGATAATAGATGCTACATTGTAGAATTATAAGCCATTGTTGCGATTGGAATTTTAGATCTGATGATAATTAAACAATAAACTATTTTAAGTATATAACTTGACTAATCAAAACACTACAGTGGAATACAAATTACTTTTCAAAGCTTTCGTTTTAGCCATATTAGGCTTTTTAACACTATAATGACAGATTTTAATAGCGAAACTTCAAACTTAAGATCACCACAAATTATTTCCCAGTCATATAGAATATTTCAGTATTGTTTTACTCCTGTTACAATTTTCAGATAGTAGACTTTGGAATGTTTTAAGTTCTTGACATCAGAGGTTTTAATTTTTTTTTTTAAATTACAAACGTAAATCTTGCCAATTATTTTAAAATAGTTTTTGAATATTTAAAATATATATATAATTACACTTATGAAGATGGTTTTTTAGAATGTAAATATTAGTGTGTAGATTCAGGAGAAAACCTAAATGTTCTAAGCTGGTCGAACTTCGTGCGATATTATTGGGATTACGAGCGAAAATATAGTTAACAGTGAGAGTACAGAACTGGCGATTGGATGCAGTCTAAGCCTTATAGGTCAGCACCGTCCATCCCAGTGGTACATGGCCACATTGGAAAAGCAAAATGGCCACTGGGTGAAAAGCGTTGTTACAGATTTTAGTTCTCTTATACATCGATTTATAACATTAATTGTTTCTAGTCAATTAGTTATAATAGGTTAATTAGTTAATTAATATGTATGACACCCTTAAACTATTTTAGTGGTGACCTATATTATTATCATAATTGTCTTCAGAAGTTCTTAAAAATCTTAGGTCTTTAATGAAAATGTTAAATCATCACTAAGAGCTGTCTTTCACAACTAGAAAACAAACTTGAAAACTCTAATATTCATAAGACATTTATATATTGAAAAAAAGAAAGGTAATTAGGGACAAACTAATACAAAATAATAGTTACTGGTGACTCCATTTAATATGCCACCTTCCCAGTGGCACAGCGTATGTCTGACGACTTACAACGCTAGAAACCGGGTTTCGATATCCGTGGTGGGGAGAGCACAGATAGCCCTATGTGTAGTTTTGTGCTTAATTACAAACAAACAAACTGTTTCCTAGGGAGAGCACAGATAGCCCTATGTGTAGTTTTGTGCTTAATTACAAACAAACAAACTGTTTCCTAGGGAGAGCACAGTTAGCCCTATGTGTAGTTTTGTGCTTAATTACAAACAAACAAACTGTTTCCTACAGGTATTCTATATCTTCGACAAGTAAAATTATTAGGCAGCTGATACCATTATGAACTAGAATATTATTGAACAATATGTTTTAGTCTATATGCTAAAAAAATGTATTTTAAATTCCTTAATAAAGATTGCTGTTATTATATTGTTAACACTGTTGATATACCGTAGGTCAAGTAAATAGGTATAACATTAAGCTACCTGCACTCAGCCAAATGTACTAATCCAAGGATATATTAGCATTACAAAAATGCTAATGCCTAAAATTATTATTAGTTGGATTGATGTTTCAATAAAGTAGCTTCGTAAACGAGGGGCTTCAATCCATTCAGCGTACAATTACGTACGTAAAATAAGAGGACTTCTGCATGTTGTAGTCGTTGTGGACTTCGATATCCGAACTTTAATACTTGTCTAGTTTCAATGAAATAATAAAACTTTTTGGTGATTTTCATCTCTTCTCACCTTTACAAACTGCGTAACATTCGTCTATAGTTTCAAAGTTGTTTTCGTTTCCACCACAACCACCGTAGATGAACTGTTCACACGTTCCTGTTTCTTTGTTGAAATAAAACCTGGGGATGTAAGCGTTGCATCGTCCTGTTTCTGGCTCCAGGTGACAATCGTTCAACTGTCTTACGGTCTTGACACCGGCTAAAATATGTAATACGTGAAAATATCTGTGTTTGTAATATGATTTATATGTTTTTAAAGTATATTTACACTTACGAGAATTATATGTCATTGTTGATCTAAGTGTCAGATTTCTTACAATCAAAATCTCTTGATCTGGCCAATCCTCATGAAAATTATTGGGATAGCTTGAAACAACCTTGAACTTTGAAAGCGGAGAAATGTATGAATTAATGCAATTTAGTTAATTTTTATAGGTTTTATGGTGTGAATGCCTTTATAATCTATTGCATTTATCATAAAACAATACTATTAGGCTTATGTTATTCTTAAGCCTACCGTGAGATATTTCCAAGATGAAAAGTATACACTATTTCCGCCGTCTTCATTACAGTGGTCGGAACGTTATTCATATAGGTTGTTTGTTAAAATAACAATGCTTATGATGTGAATAAAGAATGCAGTGTCTCAAAATACAATAGGCTTAATACTATTATCTAATGACAAATATAATTGATTATTAGAAGAATTTATGAGTGAAAGTAAATAATAATGTATAAATTTTACAGGCGTTATGGGCCTCGATGTTTGATCTTTAACTCTTGTGCAAGCCCCTATAATTAACAATGAAACGACAATTTTTTTTAGTGTTTTTCATTTCTTCTTACCTTTACAAATCGCGTGACATTCGTCTATAGTCTCAAAGTTGTTCGCGTTTCCAAAGCAACCACCGTAGATGAACTGTTCACACGTTCCTGTTTCTTTGTTGAAATAAAACCTGGGGATGTAAGCTTTGCATGGTCCTGTTTCTGGTTCCAGGTGACAATCGTTAACTTGATCTGCAGCCTCGGCTGGAATAACATAAAGTAATAATTAAAATATGAGGATAAATATATAGTACAGTGATTTGATTTTTGTGTATTTTACTGTATGTTACTGTATTGCACTGAGATAAAATCAACAAATAGCAGCCATCTCTGTGTGGATGATGACCAACCTTTTCAGGTGTCCATTGATTTGGAAACAGTTTCACTATCTGTTAATGATACCTTGAGGCACTTGTAGCCAATTTGCAAAGCCTGATATGATTGGCTGTCTTTCACTCGCTCTTAACGTCTTCACATGGTTGAAAAATTCTAGTATTTTTTTCTGAATCCCAGACATGGTTAGTGACCAGATGAAGAGTGTGAAACTTTGTGATTCATTTCAAAGTGACAGTTGAGAAACAGAATCAATATGCATTAGTTTGTTTTTGTTTGTTTCTAATTAAGCACAAAGCTACACAATGGGCTACCTGCGCTTTTCCCACCACGGGTATCGAAACCCGGATTTTAGCGTTGTAAGTCCGCAGACATAGCGCTGTGCCAATGGGGGGATTATGCATTAGTATGGTTCTAATTTGATCACATGGTTGATCATTACATGTCTAATTTGTAAAACAATGATAAACGTTTTGGGGTGAACAACATTATTTTATAACTGTTGGTTTTGTCACAACGGTAATATTAAAAATTCCCACTTGTACATTGTGATTGATTTGTCTTTGATCAGAAGTTTTTAATGAAGGGTAAAGCTAAGTGTTAGATTTGGAAAATATTTCGTTATCAGGATGTTTCAGCATTTTTGTACACTTAAAATAGTTGTAAATAAATAACTGAAAATTATTGTATTTACAGATTTTTCTCCGTTGGCAAGAAACATTATTAGACAACTGGTAATTAATTTTCATTTAGGACCAAATTTACAAATATGTCATATTCAAGTATGTCATAAGGTGGTGGCACGGATGCCTATATCTGGACAAAACGGGATTTAGCTATCTTCTTAACCATTGTGCCAAATAAATACGACTTTTTTAACTTTTAAAAATATATATTTTT